GTTATCTTGGCAAAAAATGGGTAAGTCAGCGCAATTGTTTTTTTTTTTGGTTTTTAAGGTTTTGTTTGCCCAAATTTTACTGAGAACACTGTGTGTTAGCTTGTCTCCATTGTTTTTTCGCAGATTCTATCGCTGTTTTGCTGAAAACATAACGTTTCAGCTTGTTTGCATCGTTTTTGGTCGTGAAATAAGCTAATTTTTGCAAAAGGAAAAAAACCTGTTTTTCAGCCCAAATTGACATAAAGGATACAGAAGAACATTTGCTTATTGCCTTTTTTTTTTGTCCTTACTCATGAAGTTGATTTTGGCATTTCAAACAAAAACTCTGCTAGAGCATTAATTGAATGACATATCATGCACTTACTTTGAAGCAAGAACACTTTTTTTTTAATTCAGAAAAATACCTTTTTATTTTTTTTAAGGACTGCTGGATATAACCTGTACAACCAAGATGAATTTACATTCATTATTTGTCATAACTTACACTAAATTAGAAATTCAAGTATGAAATGAGGGTACTAGCCCTTTAATAGTGTTCAAAATTTCCATATGCAGGGGTACTTGTGGCTACTGGAGAAGAATCAGTCTTTAACCCTTCACCCCCCCCCCCAAGGGAGATAATAAGTACAGATATCCTCTTCCCTAGGGGAAACTAGCTCAAAAGTGAGTGATCTCAAGGGACCTCCAAAAACGTTTTCTACAGCAATAACTAAGCTCTACAGAAGCACACTATGCAGGCAAAAGGTGTAAGAGAATCAATGAATTCTTTAATTCTTGGTCCCTCCCAGGCCAACCTATTGTACAAATCTCATGACATCTGTTCCAGTTTCATCAGTCAATTTTTCAAGCTTCAAGCTTTTCCTGCAATTATGTACTTGTTCTTGAAGCTGAAAACTAACAAGGTTCCTGTAAATTAAGTTTACATAACAACCTAACAATTTGTGAAAATCACACAAATCCCAAGCTATATCCAGAATTATGCTCTTAATAAAATAAACTTTTAAAGCAAATTGGGATTTTGCCCTAGTTCTTTTTATTTTTTTGTTACTTTTTAAATACATTTGTATAAATAATGCTCCCCTAACTCTCCCCAAAACTTTTAGAACAGATGCAAACTCTTAAGAATGATCAAGCTTTACCTTATTATTAAAAATTTTTTACATCTTAGACTACCAAGTTATCAGAGAGGTTTTTTTCGGTACTTTGACCTGTTTAACACCTAAAAAGAAGAACACATACATAACACACACACACACAATCAGCCAGGTCAAAATGTGCTGCAGCCAACAATTTGGCCACCTACAATGAAATAGCTGCCAATTTCACACATGTCAGACTTCTATTCAGGACAAGATTTGGCCTCTGCTGCCTATTACTATTGCCAGCTTGCCTGCCACTCAAAATTTCAACTGAGATTGTACATACATACATGTGGGATTAGGTTACACGAGCGAACCTGCACTATTGAAAGAGGTCAATGAATTATAACTCAAAGAAACATTGATAAATAAAATAAATCAATAGAAATGACAAAAATTAAACTAACAGCAGACAGCACTTTTTTGGCCTTCGGGGCCTGATCAGTGCAGTGATCTTCAACTAAGTGCTTAATTTGGACATAAAACCAAAACTTGTTATGGTTAAATATTATTATTTTTCTTTCAATATTCCCATTCCAGCTGATGTATATTATTTGAATAACAAATCTTATTAGCATGTTAAAATCACCTGAGGACAAGGCATACACTTTGTGCCAAAATTGCTTTGCATCAAGTACGTTATCTAGTACATCATTACCATCTTCAGGTATTTCTAATTTACTCTTGAAAATCACACAAATCATAAGCTATATACAGCATACAATTGGCAGCAAATTATTAAAAAGGAATGCAGTAATCTTTAATAATAAGAGTAGCTAAATAACAAATAGCCTAGTCAAAATGTGCCGGTAACCAGGGATTTGGCTTTCCACACAGAACATTTGTTAGGCGTCTAGTCTGGACAAGGTTTGGTCTCTACCTTCTGTTACTATAGCCAGCTTGCCTACTTCTAAAAAACGTTTTGACTAAGCTGGAAAAAATGTTTGAGAGAAAAATGGCCACAACAAGCCCACTTACTGCAAAATAAGAAACATAAAAGTAACACTTCAAATTAATACAGAATATAAGCCTTGCAGGATTTGGCTCTCAATAAAATTAGTTAAAATAGCCGATCTTGAGTTTAACTACTCACTCAAAATGGGCTGACAGCCTGCAATTTGGCCACCTACAATGAAGTATCTTCCACTGCTTTTCAGGATGAGGTTTGGCCTCTGCTGCCTATAATTGCAACAGCCAGCTTGATTACTACTAAAGAACATTTTGACTGGGCTGTGCAAGTGTTACTAGCATATAAAAAGCACCTTCAGGTAGATTACAGCAAAGCAGACTTTGTACCAAAACACTTTGCATTAAGTACATCATTACCCTCTACAGGTATTTCTAGTTTACATGTGAAAATCCCACAAATCACAAGGTATATTACATCATACATGTTGACAAAGCAATCAGGGGTACATTTTTCATAATAGGATGCAATGGTCTTCAGTATCAAGATTATTTGGTACCTAAATAGTAAAATGTTCGAGAGAAGAAATAATCATAAACATTTTTTCTTTCTCATCAGCATCGACTTCCAAAAGTAATGGATAATGACCACCTAAAACAAAGAAGAAATAAATCAAATTTGTGATTTCACAGGGCTTCAATACGAAACAACTATACATATCTTTTATTTCCTACCACTTACAAGTGGCAGGAATGGCTGAAATGGCCTTCACGTGAACACAACAGAATCCTATGCGTGTATAACCATGTAGAACTATTTATTCGGTATCGAAATTACATCCCAAATGTCATGATATTTGACTGAAACTCAGCTTACCCATCTTTCGTTTAGACTTCGAAACTTGCTGCTTTTTACCACCGTTTCAATGTTTTCTTGTTGTTCAAAAGGTGGTAGGGCCATTGCAGACCGTGATTTTTTTTTTACTTGAGAACCAGATCACAACACCCAAGCCTTTTCACGCTAAAATATTAAACTACTGAGATTTCCTTCGCCGCCGTAAGCCGCCATTTTATCTTTCCCTGAATACTAGTTCCCAAGCTTCGAGCCCGAAGGTCTCAGACATGCACTGAAATTATGATATTCGTTATTTCAGGGCCAATTTAGAAATAACGATAATCGTTATTTTGGTGTCGAGATCATGCTGATCACAACTGAACGCACATTTACCCCTTTCCTCCGCCATCTTGAATGTTGTAAGACAGTGGAACCGAGTCCTTCTCTTTATTTAACACGTGTAAAGAGCATTGGTAAAGAGTGCCACGAAATTACTATATCCATAAATTTGGTGCCAATTTAGAAATAACGATAATCGTAATTTCGGTCTCGAGATCATGTTGAATGCCTGGGACCATGACCCCCTTTTGAATCCTAAGAACGGCCTGCATTTTAAGACTCGGGCTCTCCTACGGAAGCCCAAGTAACAATGAAAGGAGTCACTTCACCACTGAATAACTCTACATTGCACACGCCGGGTAAGCCGGAAAGTAAAAGGCAGTCGATCGTTAAAAGGTGTTGATAGGCTTGTGCGACTCCTGCCATTCGCTGAGGCTTTTAAATCTTCTTGACCTGAAAACTAAGCTGTTATTAAGATATCTTTTATGACTTTCCTTTGCGATGTGATAATAAGGGTTAGTTTCCTGTCATTTCCCTCTCTGTATGTTCTTGAGGTTTGGCAAAGCCGGATGAGATTGTGTTACAAAAGGTAATATTTTCATGTGTGCGCGCTATTTTCTCTGTTTTCAAGTACATACTGTCTCTCCCGCAGAAGATAACTCCAGAGATACGGTTTTCAAAACCTTATTCTGAGTATTCTCTATTCTTTTAAGCATATTTGAAAATCTGTACGTTTTTTAATTAAACGTTAAGCGTGGCGAATTTTGGCTTCTCCTTTCCCGAATCCCGTATTTACGCCTTTAAGTGCATGATATGAAACATGGTTCGTGTATTAGAAGTTCGCTCTCTTTGTAATACGTTTGCATGTCAAGGGTCGATTTCCTGTTAAATAACTCGCGAATTTGACATTATTCACACAGCCATCGGCTATGAGTGTGACTGCCGCCAAATGAATAGATTCTTGGGCAAGGCTGCAGTTTCGATTCTATCTGAATCTCTTCAGTTGCCTCCGAACAACGAATTTGTCACGGGGGAATAACAAGTGTCGCGCAGGCCTGGGAACACTTTTTAACTTTCGAAGGAACTGCAATAGACAGTGAATCCTCGTTACATTCCACGTTTATTCATGCTATCTTGCTGCCACCAGAGATGTTCATTCGACCGCGACAGGATGCAAATGACTGATTTTTCGTTTTACGACCATGATGCAACGCAATCAGAGTACGCACACCGCCTGGAGGCATCGTGACTCTCTGCTAATGAATCACGAACAAGTCAATATACCATTTAATGTGTTTAATATTCAACCTGTTTCGTGCACAGTCAAATGCGAATAATCGTTAGGTTCAGAGTCGGATTTTACTAAATTGTCCAACGCGGCGAGCAAACTGTACGGAGATTATGAAGCTTTGTATCAATCTCTGATTGATCTTTCGTACACGGTTGTCAAAATCAAAATGGGTGGCTTCTTGAATCCTATCGAAAATTCAGTTTTTCAGTTCTCTGTTTCTGATCCTCATTTACTTAAACTCGGTTTCATTAACATGTTTTGCTGATATAACAGGGATGTGAGTTTCTAGAAATCTCGTCATAGGCAAAACAGTTCCGATTAACGCCAATTACTTAAATATTTAACATGATAAGAGAGAGAAACTATTCATGACATCACAGATTGCAAAAAGGAGTACACTGGGATGGATGGATGATTGGTATCGGTGTTTCTCTGGATTTTATCTCCTTCTCCTCTAAACGGTATCTTTCTTCAGGTGATTGTTTAAGTGTTACTGAACGGCTTGGATGTTCCTAGTCACCTGAAAGAGGGAGAACGAGTATCTCGTCAAAAGTTGCGTTGCAGCAGCATCTCAAACATCATCACCTCTTCGCGAAGCAACAGATCGCGATCGTTATGCAAAGAAATACTACAACGCGAGCAGCAAACCCTCCGGGACCCGATTGGGGGGACAATGTGCGAGGGGGCCGCAAGGGTTCTGGCATGAGACCACACCCCTCAAAGATCTTTCGCACGCTTGCCGGCTTGAAATTCGCGGGCTTAGCTGCAGGTGCCGCAGCGCGATAAATGAGAACTTGCAGCCTCACTTTTTGGGTGAATACCATTTTTCTTTGATCGCATCTAGGCCATCGTCACTTCAACTGTTCGTTCTCGGCTCTACCTCATAACTTAAGACTTTCCACTTATAACGTTATTTTATGAGACAGTACTGTAGAAAATAGTTGTTGCTTTCTTTTCTTAGTTGTGGGTGTTCTGTGACCAATGTTATTTTGGCTATAAAACATGCATATTACTGGCTTGTAACCACTAGGGTGAATGGGGGGGGGGGGGCAGGTAACTCCTAGCAGGAGTTTATTAACATACTTGTAGGGAATGAGGGACCAGTAAGTCTCACCTCCTCAAACTTGTGAATCTGTCGAATAAAGAAATCTCCATACCGCCGTTCAACTTTCGTATCTGCGATGTGTATCATATCCTGAAAGAAGGAGAAAAGTATTTATGAAAGAACAACGACCGTTTTTGCGAGGAGGAAAACTGGTTTGTTATAGAGAACATATTTGAGATGATCTTATAGGTTGTCAATCGAGTACGGTTTAAAAGAAAACAAACAAATTCATCATCCATTACTTTAAGCGATTAGGGCCACCTTCAATCGCACATATTACTTTGGTCTTGCCTATTGTAATGATTGGTCTAAAGAAAAACCTTGTGCACCCGTCTCAACCAATCAGATTCCAAAGCAAACCCAGTCACGACTTGACCCCCCACGTTTTCCCGCGCTTTAAGTGATTAGCTCGTTTTAACTTTGAGTTTTTATTGCCTCCGTAAAATATTACCCAGTGATCTGGATCCAGTGATCCAGTGAGTTGGTTACTGTCATGATAGGATTTTTTTTTTTCACCTGGTCAATGTAAAAGTCCACTTCAGAGGAAGACTGGAGCTCTCCCTCAAGAGCATCTGTTCCTTTCGTCCACACAAGATTCCTCTGTTTATGCTGTGAAGGGGAAGCGACAAGGGTTACCAAGACAAGTTAAGGATAGTTTTTCACCAAATGTTGCGAACTGCTCCACACCATACTAACCCTGAGAAAATTTTGTTTAGAGGCTTACCTTGAAGCAGAGCAGTTGGGTCCTGAACTGACCCTCATCCTACAGAAGGAACACAAACAATAACTCAAGTGTCAAGATTAAAACCCATTCCGTGGAAGGAACGAAGCTTTTGTTTTCCCTTCTCCCGAACCAAAAACAACAGAAGAAAAAGTGTTTTATTCACCATGGAAGAGGTTCTTTTAACTCACCATGTCTAAAAATGCAGCAAGCTTTGCGATGGGCATTGTGGTGTACAACTTCAAATAGCTGAAAAAAAAACAAAAGGCAAACGAACTTTCCATGATGGAAATGGAGGTTTACTTGCGTCTCCGACAAAACTTATCGATCACAATTGCAGAATGGAGCATTTAATTCTATAAAATAGGGGAACTGAAACGAACTACACTGGTTTTGCTTTCATTCGCACTACGATTGGTCTAAAAATCTCACGCCACTCACCCAGCCAATCAGATACAAAACTAAAGCAATTGCAACTTTGTTATGCACGTTTTCCCCACATTTGACGCTGGTTACTGTAGCGCCTGGTTTTCAATGGCCACGAGTGATCTTTACCTAGTCCTGACTTACTATGATTCTTTTGAATTTGGTTTTACGACGCTAAATCAAAAAGCGGTCTAACGAATATTATAACATTATTTAGGCGATGTAAGTTTGATTGTTAAAAGCAAGTCAAGTGATGGTCACGCTGATTCCAAATAAAAACTGACACAAAACTTCTGTTTTAAACCTTACCTTCTAATTACTGGTATCAGAGACTGCTGCGACACTTCATTCATGAAAACTTTCAGCTGAAGATTAAACGGTTCCTGGAAAAGACAAAAAAATGGTGCAATTGAAACAACTGTAAAATCGAAAAAAAAAAATCCTTAGGATTTAACCCTTTACACCCTAACATTAGTATGCATATTCTCCATACTGTTCTCTATACATTTACTAAGCTGCTGATAAGGAGAATTTGTCCAAAAATTAAGACTTTCTTTAGTTAGTGATCATTTCCTTGATTCTCATGACCTTACAGTGTGATTCAGTGGTGATATTGTAAGGAGAAGTTAGATGCTGGTCGCTCTTAGAGGTTAGAGGGTTACACAATTGTGATGAAGAATTCAAGAGCTCACATTTCAAAGTCTCATGCGATCCAGTTTATCTTCAAACAAATTCAAAATTCATTGAAGTAGATCACGTGTCTCTGTAACTTGACTGAAAGTGTGGAGAAATCACAACTGCTAACCAGAGCAAACAAAACTATCTCAACTATTCAGTAAAAACTCTACAATCAAGTAGAGTTGAAGCAAAGTTGTGCAGCACCATTTGAAGATTGCCCTAAAATGTCCTTACCCTGTTAAAATTAGCTGGAGGGGCGTCAAAGTTCGGAGGTACTGGGGAGATAAACTTAGGACAAGCATACGAGAAGGACTCCTCAAATGTCTGCAAGTCTCTGTGTCAAGAAAATTTAAGAAATAATTGAAAAAAATTAATTAGTACATACAGTTAATGCTTGTGTGCGCTCAAACTCTTGGGAAGGTCACCTTGTTCCAGTGCACAAATGAAGAATTTTCAAAACAAAAAAACAAAAACACACTCAACATACCCACGCTGAAGTCGTTGCAACCTATCTGCATTTTTCTCTCTCAGTTGTGAGTGAACATTTTCATCAATTCGCTGCAACAAAAGCAAATCTTTGTAAAATCTCAAGGTTTTTTTTAGTTTGATGAGAAAAGCCAACATTAACCACAACTAAGGTTGAAAAAGGGACTGATCATAATTTATCAAGGGGGGGGGGGTTTACGGAGGATATCGTTTGTGTCACGATAAATTTTACCTAATCCCCCTATGAGGCTCTGTAATCTTATGATCCCCTTTTATTGGCAGTTAGTTGGCTCATAATTTTTTTCAAGCCCCCCACCTCCCCCCTCATGATCTGTTGGGGAGTGATTCCCCTCCTTTCCCCCTGAAAAAAATGTGATCACCCCAAAATCCTCTGACCCCCCTCCCCCAGGAAATAGATGATGACTTATCCATAAGAATGAGAACTACATACCTGTGGACATAATGTCAGACAGATGGCCAGCAGTACATACATCTGATCATTCTTCTTCATTATCTATAGGTTTGAAACGTTGGCAAGGTAATGCTCATTAGTATAAATACCACAAACTAGATAGCTGCTTGCTGTATATTCCATGATAGATGGTGTCAAAAGTGGGCAGCCTAAAAACCAAAACAAACTTGTTGTGAAGTTTTGAATGACCAGTAGATTTATTCTAAAACAATAGGATTACTTGCTCTTGATTTCTCTGTGTGATATTTGATGAGGGCAAAAAAAATCTTGACCTCAATGTTTTATTAGTAAACATCAATGCACTTTCTTATCTGATGTCTGACAGAAAGAGATCAGTGTCTGTGGAAACCCTCTTTGAAAATAATAGACTCTATTTAAGCTGATGACCCTTTGTGGGACTTCTCACCTGTTCATACTGATAGGATTTAGTTTGGAACATATTTTTGGTCCTCTGAATGTAAAGCAGAATATTGGAGAAACTGCGAATAGCATCCTAGAATAGAAACAGATCGTGTTCTATAATTCTGGTTACATAGAGATATCCTACCCTACTTCAGGAGGGAGGATTTCTGGATGTTGTTCTTTCTTTATTTTTTTTTTTCTTCAAGCCAAATTCATAACTTGACAACTTCAAATGAGGATAAAATATGCAATCGGATGTTTTGGATAAAATATGCAATCTGATGTTTTGGATAAAATATGCAATCTGATGATCCAAAACAAGGGGGAAAAGAGATTCTACCACCTACACTTGAGGGAGGATAAGGGTTCATTCATCTTCTGGTAACAATCATAAAGGCCTTGGTTGAGAAAATTAGAATTCCTGTTACACTGTATAGTGCAAATCCTGACTTCCAAGCCCAAATTTAAATGGTCACCAGCAAATGGTCCATCAACAATGAAATGTATGCAGTGAAAGAACTAACTTAGATTGGGCTGGACCCCAAAATATTTTGCTTTAGTATGCCTTGAACACAAGCCCAACATTTTGCAGTCAGACTTTTTCCTATAACTATATATTCATTCCTGCCTCTTGCCACTAAACCTTCCTTACCTGGTACCTCTTCATCATGAGGTAGGCAAACCCAACATAGTAGTAGGTAGTGATCTGGCAAGCTGGAACTCTTGAGTATAGACTCTGTTGGAAGACAACATAAATGTCACTGATGTACAGTGAATTGGTATAGCAAGCATCTCAAAAATAAATTGTTCATCACACAGTGAGTGATTTGAAATGAAAGAGATTTACATTGAAATTCTCCTCACAATATCAAGACATTATCCAAAAAACTGATTATGAGAACTGGCAAATATATCAGCTAGTGAATGCTACCTATTCCCAGTACTATATGTAGGTTACATAGAAATGCAGCCCCAAAAAATCTTGTGCAAGGTAAGGAAAAAAACAAAAAAAAAGAAAAGTGAAAATGAAAAAAAGCTCCTTGCATTTCAGTGTCAAGTAATGAAGGATTGGTTTTCTTGTGCTTAACACCCTGTGATTGGTATGCAAAACTTGCTACAACTCCTCCACAAAAACAATGCAAGACTGAAACTGACTGCGATTAAGTTACTATTATTTTCCTCAACTTTTTGTCAGTTATGGTGTTTATTTTGAGTTTTCAATTTCTCCTTCATAATGTTAACCTTTGTTACAACTAACCATTGTGATTATTATCTAAACACTCTTAGACACCAGTATTTCTAACTATGTTATTTAACTCTTCAGTTTACCTTCTTGTTTAGCTCGACATTCTCTAAAACTTTGATGGCCTGAAAATAATCACCAAGCAGTGAATGCAGTCTCAGCAAACCTATCAGACTGAAGTAACCCAGCATCTTGTAGAGTGGATGAATTCCAAACTCACCAGCCACTGAGTCTGGGTCACCCCCTTGGTTATACCTCTCAAGCTGTGAAAAAAAAAACAGTCAGATCAACATAAATTAAATCTTCAATCTTGTGTTGATAAATTTGTCATGAATTTAAATAGGAGGTAGGGTGACCTAATGGTCAGTGCACTGGACTCTGGGTCCAGAGGTCTGGCTTCAACACCTGGCCAGGTCAATGTGTTATGTTCTTGGGCAAAACACTTTATTCTCTCCACCCAGGAGTAGAAATACTAGGGAAGCCTGATAAATTGGTTGGAGGTGGAGTGGGGGGTTACCTTGTGATGGACTAGCATCCTATCCAGTGGTGAGTAGTGATACTCCTTGCAACTTCATGTTAAGGACACTGGGATAAGCTCAGGCTGGGAGGGCCATTTGGCTCAAGTTCAGAGTTAGATATAAACAACAAAAACTAACACTTAGGTCCAAGTCAGTCATTTTGTAGGATGCATACCACTAAGAAGAACGAACCTCCATACAAGTAAGGAAACTAACCCCTAAGCTGTGGAGTTTGCACTTCAATAAAAATATCTTGATGTGTATAGTTGTAATCAACATTTATGGGAATCAGTTTGACATCAAATAACTGAGAAGTTACGGTGAAGATGCTCCAGAAATTTATTATAAATATTTTGTAGCTACCAACCTGGTGATTAATCTTGGATTTCTCCACCAAAGAATACAGCACATTGAGCACACTGTGAACATTCCAAATCTGAAAGATAAGATCCTCTTAAAGATCAGGATAAATTAAATGATTGAATGGCAATCTGGTATAACTACAGTACTTTTCATCATCATTGTACTATCTTCTCTCTAGTGGAGAAGATCATTTTCAATCTTCAAAGCCCCTCCTATATTGATTAATCAGCTAATCACAACTATGAAAAATTCTCAAACATGATTGGTTATCACCAGCCCGTTTTGAGCACTAACAGGACACTGTACGATCGTGCTTGTAAGCTGGACAGTGTATGCATTATGCCTGTGAAATTGGACAGTATGCATCATGTGCATGCACTCTTGTCATGAATTTTGCTGACTAAAATGTTGCTTATTTCATGGAAATGTATAACCCATTAGTCACTAAAATTCTGTGACAGTCATAGTTTTGATTAAATGGACTCTTCTTGGTCCTATTACCATTACAAGTAACCTCTTCAACACAATACATTTGCCCTAATTTAAGCTTCAGACTCAGCAAAAAGTACTTGTGGATCATAATTTCTATGCCCTCATTTCTCTGGATTTCCACCCTTCCCAAAACAAGCACACCAACTTCCAGTTTGATCAAAAGACAGTCTGGGATGAAACAACATGTTATCAAAGTGCCTCACTGAATCCTACAGTAATTACATGTATTTCTCTATACATTCTTTTACTTTGAATACCTTTGTATTTGCTCTAAGAGTTCCCACTTCATCTTCTCCCTTTTTCAACAACTTTGATCGGTACTGGCTAAATGCTTGGAACTGAAAATTTTTTACATACAATAATCAAATCAAATTTCTTAGGATTTAGTGTACTCAAATTAACCAATGATTGATTATACATTCATTAAGTAAAGTTGAGTATACTGAATGTTTCAAAAGCAACCAATTCATGTAAACATCTACCACAACATTAAGCACTGTTCATTTAACTTCCAGAGGTGATGAACAGGTAACTTCTTCTCTTCCTTTGATTAAATTATAAAGCAAAAAGGTGATAAGAATACAGACTTTCATGTGCTTGGGCCATAAATTGTGAGCAGAAAAGAAATGGCCCCTAAGTTATAGTATGGACCTCACACTTGGTCAGTAAGAGGAATTTCCTCTCTGGAGGAAAGCTTCTAACCTGGTAAATAAACTCATCAATAATATCCCACAACCACTGATTGGGCAAGCTGAGAGGTACTGGTTCATCTGTGTCTGAAAGATATTGTATATTTGATGAGTGTTTCTATTTTTGTGTTCAAAAATAAGTTGGAATATTTTTTTACTCAAAATTGGAAATTTAGACCGTACAAAAAACAAAATTCTAAAATTCTAAACTTACTCAAAATGTAGTTGAAAAGATCACAGTAGTTGAAATAAGAATCGAAGCGATTTTCCAGTGTTGGCTGAATATATACAAAGAATAAAAATACAGTTTAGAAAAATATTTTACAATGGTTTTAACTCTTAACATTATTACATAGCTAACTAATGTTTGATTGTGAGGAGCAAACAGGTAATGAAAATACTCAAACTTACCAGGTTTTTATCCTGACCTAACACTAAATTCTCACAAGTTATTTATGAGGAAATGTGTTCCAGCTAGAAAGGAGAAATAATAATCAGATCTTGGGAGTTACTGGGTTAAAAGCCTCACCTTGAGCTTGTTGTAGATGTGTCTGTAGTACAGCTCTTTGTAAAGGATCAAAAACACTTGGTCTACAAGAAAGAAAACATCATTATTTAATTCTTAAACCACTTCGAATTAAGTGGTAGATAGTCAAGGAGGGGAGGGTGCTGGTAATGGGTCACTGGATATGTCGAGAAATACATACAGTAACAAAAGATGTGAAAATTCACCAAAATCATCACATCTATGAACATTCAGATGGTTTAATGAAATTTTTTCAAATCTGCCATTTTTGTGCATGTATTTCTGGACATAAATGTGGGTCACATCCATATACAGCAAGCAAATTCACTAGCTTCACTTCACACTAGCTTACTTGGGGAGACAACCAAGGCAACACTGCCATAGATCAATACCCTGCTTCAAAAAGGTAACTGTCCGATTTCCTTCAAGAATTAACTCACTTAGTCCTTCAAACCATTCGAATGAGAGTAGAATGGTACAACAGTTAGCAGCAACCTGACACATGTACTAGAGATGATTCATGGTTCAGTCAGTTTGTTAGTTAGTTGCTCATAGAACTATGCAGTCATTTAAATATCAGGACAGGCAGAAAGACATACAGCAGTTCAGTAAATAAAAATGCATGTCTTTATTCTTTAACCCTTTAACCCTTAAGAGTGACTAACATCTAATTTCTCCTTACAATATCACTACTGAATCACATATTAATGGCATGAGAATAAAGGAAATGATCACCAACTAAAGAAAGTCCTGATTGTTAGACAAATTCTCCTTGTCAGCACCTTAGTAAATGAACAGAGAACAGTTTGGAGAATATGAATATTGATGTTAGGGTGTAAAGAGTTAAAACACACCTCCATCCACAAGGCTTGCAACATATTCAGGTTCAGGCCAAGCAGATTTTTCAAAATATCTCTCAGTCAATTTGTTGAAACTGGATCAAAAAAGGAAAAAGATATGTTTAGAAAACTCAAAGACTTCTTATCACAAAAAGTAGAGTCTGGAGTACAACACTAATTCACTTGAAGATATATTCGACATTGCAATGAACTTACTTTGTTTCATAGATGAACTGAATGTCATAGAGATTCTGGAAGATATGATTATATAATAATTTTAACACTTTTGAACCCAAGAGTGACCACAAAAGAGATTTCTTCTTCAGATATCAAACCATTTTAAGTAACAAGGTGATAAAGAGAAAGAAAAATATGAACAAGAGAATATGGCACTACAATATTACCAACTTGCCCTGGTTGATCCTTTTGACCACTAAAAAAAGGTGGTGGGATTTTTTTGTTTAGGTGAACCCTTATTCTCCCAAGATCTTAATAGTAATTCTCCTTACTGTGGGCTACGGTAAAAACCCACAGATAGGAACCTAGACTTTTTCAAGTTAGTCACCATGGGTTCTTATACAAATGGTATTTCCTGTGAAATTAACCCACTGAGGTTCATAATCCCACTCTTAATTTTTATTGAAAAAAAAACAACAAAAAAAAAAACAAAAAAAAAACCTGCACTGTATGCCAGCCTCATAGTGCCTTGCTTTACATGGTTAACTTGTATGTACACATTTGGATATGTTGTGCAGCTATGGATGTATTAATAGTACAGTATTGTGGTCTTACAACACTTCTGGTGTTCTGGCCATTTTTTATTATCTTTTTGTATTGCATGGGATGTAGTGTATCAAATTCAAACAAATTCTACATTCTAAAAATAAGAAACTGTATTAAGAATCTAGCCTAGGATGGTGCTTATAAGTGGGATACTTAACTGGGAAATTTTAGCCTAACAGGTTCTTAAAATTGAAGGTTCTTATACACAGGTTTTTAATGTATGTAGTTATTATGATGTTACTTTGTAAAATTTGGTATTGGATCAACCAAATAATCCCCTAACTGATGTTTTTCTTCATTCCCATCAACTGTTTGCTTGATACTGTACATGAATTGATATTGTAATTAACAATTACTCACTGAAGGTGAGGTGAATATTGTTGCAAAATCCTCAAGATGAAGACAAGTGGACTATTCAACAATTTTCACTGAACCAGAAGCGAAGAATTGTTTTAGTGTAATTGCTCAGGTGCTTTCGAATTCTGTTGTAAATTCTTTTTTATTTGTTGATAACAATCTGTTACAATTGTTTTGATTACTTGTATCAAGATAAGCAACCAGTTTCCACTAGAATTTAGCAGGTTTATTTAATTCAATCAGCAAAAATGTCATTTTTTCCTTTTGAAAAGTGTGACACCAAGTTTACTAGCATCTTTAGTGTTTTGTTGGATTATATTTTGTTCTATCACAGTTATCACTACCTGATGATCAAATTTGAAATACTATAATCACCTTGCACAAGATGATTATAGCAAGATATTATACAATCCTTGACCAATCAGAGAGCATGCATCTCTAAAATCACTGTAGCAATAATACTAAGGAGAAATTATTGATCACTAAAGGAAGTTTAAGAGTTGAGTGGCCTCAGTAAAGTGGAACTGTAATTTGTATGGTTTCATTACCAAACATTCAGTTAACCATACCAGGATAAAATCATATAAAGAAATACATGCTAACCTGGTCAGTGACATGCTGATGGAAGAAGTGAATAAATCTTCGTATTTCCTCTGGTATATGAGAATAGGACTGAGGATCTATACCTGACTCATAAAAAAGAGAAATATAGTAAAGATTTTTGATACAATTTTAGGTGTGGTTTTAGCTCATATTTTTTTCTTGTTTCTAATGAATACAAAATATGGTAATGAAAATAAAATTAAAGAAATCTGAATAAAGATGGAACAAAAATATTTATCGTCATTCAGATTGTGTTTATGGAACAATGGTTATTTTTAAGAGTGTCTAAGGTATATCAGTGAGAAGCTGAGCAGTTTGGTTGCTCATCAGTCAACTTTTTCCTTTCCTGGGGGAAAAGATTCAAACTAATAAGCAAGCCATCAAGCACCCTTCACCAATACACCTTGAAAATTGGCCTTGTATTCTGAAGCTAAGACAGGCTTCAACATGCTAGCTTCACCCAAATGAAACCATAGCTAAGCAAATTTTAACCATCATAAAGTACTAGTAAGATTTCCGCACAGCCCCATCCTACATTACGCATTCAGTTCTTGGTTAGAGGAAATAATGACCAAAAAATACATTGCCATTGGGAAAACGGTATCTGGTCACTTCGCAAACGTGTCACTTCGCAAACTGTCAGTTCGCAAACGTCCTCAGTCGATTCGCAAACGCATCCCAGTCGAAGTTCGAAGTTAAATCAACCTTTTTATAAATAATTTGAACACGTCTGCAAATCGACTGGGATCGCGACTACGTTCGCGAAGTGAACGGTATGCGATCGATCGATAACAAATCGTTTCATTGAACGAAACGTACCGATCTCCCGATGACTATATTCACATGAGTAAGGAAAGTCATCGTCTGATGTAAGATCACAGTAACGATAAGACATCAATAAGAAGGATAGAAAATAATGAAAAAGCAAGCTAGACATTGAGACACTTCGAGACACTGAGTTAGATAAGATTTATTGAAAAGATTCCAAGAAGTTGGATGCCTGCCGAGCTTCCAAAATGGCAAAAGTAAACTTTCACGCTGATAAAACTTACTACATTACTTCTTAATTTTATAACTTTCTTCGATAAAAGATTGTAAAGAAACATAATATGAAGTTATATCAACCTTTTTAAAAATAATTCGAAGACGTTTGCGAATCGACTTGGATGCGTTTGCGAAGTGACAAAGGACGTTTGCTAAGTGACAGTTTGCGAAGTGACACGTTTGCGAAGTGACCGGTATTCGGGAAAACAGATTTGTTTTACAATAGCATGGGGCTGTGTGGAAATCTAGCCCTTTTCTCAAGCCAGTCAAAACATATTACAAAAAAAGATCGATAAAACAAATAATTTTCTGCTAAACAATTTTAAAAACACTTTTAAACACACTTGTGACGTAAAAAAGTGTTCCAATTCTATGCTATATGCAATGCTATCTAGGTCTCTTACCTCCTTTATCATGTATAGGAGGCTCATACTCTCCTCCTCCATAAAATTCTCCATCTGGCGCGCCACCCTAGAATAAACAGATGAACAATAAATCGACTTTTGGGACAATCAACATCTGGTGATAAAGTGATCTGCCGTTTCTTGGTGCTATTTGTTAGAACTATAAAACAAAACGAATCCGAAGTTACATACCTGAATAACTTGTCATAAGAAACAAAAAATCCTTACCTCTCCCTCATATAATCCTTCAGATTCATACATCGTTGATTCAGTCGTTAAAATTTACCGAAAAGAGGAATTTCTCCTGAAAATTCTCACCTCGTGTCCTTTTTAGCTGACTTAGCAGCCTGGCCAGAAAGATCATCTATGGGTTGTGTAAGGGACACGAAGTGTAATATTATTTTCACCGACAAACTATAATATTGTCGAAGTATACCGGTATGCCAAACAGAATTAACAGAAAAAAAATTGTTACTTGAAGTCTGAAAACGAAAGAGGTTTTGTACAAAATGATCTTTTTATTAGCCATATTTCTATCGCTCTCATAATGTGACCACCAGAAGGGCCGACCCTAGCGAGGGAAATTAGCGCTAAAGATCTTCGGTAAATCTCACCAAGACTTCAGCTTCAACCAGTTTCACGCCCACGATCTCATTAGCATTTTTCCATACCTTCGCCAAACAGTTCTTACGACTTAAGTTCAGAGAACTTGGTATTGGATCAAATAAAAATCCCCTAGTTAAAATATTTCTTTGCTCTCTTCTCTCGTCTGCCTGATTTTGTATTGATATTGTAAGGAGAAATTCTGTCTCGGTTACTCGTGAGGGTTTAAAATTTAATTCATCAGCTTGCATGAAGGCATGCATGCTGTACTTTTCAATTTCTACGGCTATAAATTACGAATCACTCACGAAACATTTCATGCATATTTACAAAGTTGAAGTGCTTTGATACGTGACCTTGTTCATGCTGTTGACAACCGGAAGTCTAATGGATTGCCATCAAAACTGCCTGTGAAATGTCAAATTTCTAATCTCGAATGCACACAATTACTTATGCAGAATTCAAGAATGTTGAAAAAAAAATTCAGCAATGACAATTATCCTCAAAATTATAAGTTGGCGAAAATATCTTCCACGGAACCGGAAGCTGACATGTTCATCCAAAAATAGCGTGATAAGTGGCGTGATCGTGACTTGGACCAAACTACATCCGGTAAAGCAATCAAATGTGTGAAAAAAAAACTCGAATATTTAGATCAGTGTCAGACAACTCCCTTTCCTTTGATTGTGAAATTAGCGAAAAGCGATGATCCTTTATTAAATCAATTATGCTCGGTTCTTGAACGGTATGTTGTGACGTCACAGGCGGCACTAAGGCAGTTCTGCACAGTGAGCCAGCGAGGTGTCAACGCACCACTGTTCGACAAAAAAAATAGTGGAACACCGGCAGAATTTCACTTTCTTACTTGAATCAAGTGACAAAGCAATACCGATCTCACCGTTATTTCCTCTACCTCAGAGTAATTGCTTACAGGGCTCAAAATATGAAATTTACGCTGCTCCTTTTTTGCATATTTGCCTATCTGCTATTGTTCTTCGTCGCTGGATCAAGCAGTGGAGTTGCAAACCTTTGCGAGGAAGGAAAATTTTTTGATTCATCGAAGCAAAAGTACAAGTCATGCCTCGAGTGCAAATCCGACATGCAGGAGTGCTATTCGTGTTGTCAAACCAAGGTCCATGGTAAGAATATGAAAATCAGTTCAATGTTTGTTATGTCAAGCTAGAATTTAAATTTAAAAGTCTTGAATCTGCCGGCATCAGCAACGTCTAAAAAAGACGTGATAGCTATTCTCGCAATGACCCAACCAATATTCATTAGGAAAAAATGGTTAGAGATTGGAAAGTAGAAAGTCGCTTATGAATGCTCGTTTTAGAAAATTAATAACTGTCATTAGCTAAACCGAAGCAAATGGATTATGGTTCTTCCTTCCTAAACAAGGGAGAATTTAGTGTACACGAAATAAGTTTCATATCAATTCCTCTCCAGAAAATCTTCGTATTCTTGTGGCTTTTAATTTATCTCCCTATTAAAGGTAGTGCACATCGCTTTTCCAAATTAAGCGGTTTCTAGCAGATTTCGTGATTTTATGCATAATTAAACTGACAAAATCAAACTCATTTACATACCCCTGTATTATCCAACGGTTTTGTCTCTCTCCCCCGGTTGGTTTTTCAGATTGATCCCGAACACAATCAGCTTTTCAATTCAGATATGAAAGAACATAATCTTTTCCCATGGATTGAAAAAAAGAGAATAATGCAGATGTACAGATTAGAAATGTGAAGAAAACTTTTAAACCCGATTTAATGTAATGAAAACATCAGCAGGTACTGTAAACATGCAAACAGAAACAACGCTTTGCGCGCCTCTTGGAAAATCTGGATGCCCTTAAAATGCTTCCTCTTCTTTTCCAAATATGCAAAGAAATATACCCTTAATTTAAAAAGAAAAACTGACAATTTGCGAGGAAACGACCTCGTCGGAGTACTTCACGAGAGATTTTTTCGCGTCATGATAATTATTTCCTCACTGTTAACAACTATTGCCGGATTACCGACATTACTGACGCGGTACTTGGTCAATCGATATAGCTGAGTACGCACTGAGTTTAAACGTTAATTAAGGGAAACCGATAATTTGCTGGAGAAGTAATTTTTCTTGATTTGGTCAAATATCGAGCGCCTCGTGCAGGTAGGACTGCAGGAATGGACAACTGACAAGTGTTGGTTCTTGCGCGCGCGGAAAAACAGAAAAAGGATATACCCCTTCCTCTCTCTCGGTTTTTCTCTTTTTTTTTTTAAGGTGACTAAGTCTTTTAGATTCATTTGAATTTGACAGTATATCGAAGCTTCCACTATCAGATGATCTCAACACTTTTTGCCGTAGTGTCGGATTTCTGCACGCTAAGTAAACATGATAATGTAACGTTGATACAGTCGCCAAAATAGCCATTTGTACGGTGAACATTGTCCCTTAGACCCTGATCACGCATCTCTCCCAGGGTTTTTTATTCTCAAAATCTTACTGAGGCTTCAAGGTCTCTTGATCTATGGTCTGAGAAGCATGCCACTCTCCCGTGATGATTTCATCATATCCAGTCTAATTTTAGTATCCCTAAATTGAAAAAAAGTACCCCTTCCGCCTCCTCCCCCCCCCAACCTCCCTCCGAAGTCTAAATAATGTATAGTGTTTGTTGAAACGCGCGCGTGCTCGAAAGAAAGGACGCAATTACCCCTAGAATATTCACTCTTTGGCGCAGGCCTGCTATAGTTTCTGCGTTATAGAAATCAAGCATCGCAAACACCTCCTACGCTATCTTTTCCAGAGAGGCTCTCTTACTTGAAAATGCAGTCTGAGCCAAGAGGCCATGAACTTGGAAATATCCAAGGGAAGAAAGCCACGGGTGAAACGCGATCGAGATGAAATGCGATAGCGAGGAACATCGATCAATCTAAAATCAAAATTCAAAAATTATTCCTTTCCTATAGTTTACGGACCAGTCATTATTTATCACCGGTGAGATGTGGGTGGCGTATTTACGGGCGATCAAATGGTTTTCAGGGGGAACGGGGGGGGGGGGAAGGGGATCAGTCGTCATCAACAGAATATGTAGGGGAGGACTAAAGAAAACCGATTGCCAATTTACTGCTAATGAGGAGTGATCATAAAAATATTGCAGAGCCTAAGGTGGGATCAGGTAAATTCTATAAAAACATTACCAAAATCCTCAACCCTTGGCGAAAAATGAAGACCGGTCCTTTATATGAAATAAGTCACACTCAGCCATTAATAAATGCTGCTCTGTTACTTGAGGTGGAAATGGTAGAATGGTAAGGTGGGTCTGTTTCCTTTTTTTGTTTTGTTTTTTTCAACGCCGGGGGTGAGGAAAAACAGCTTTTTTTAATCCTCATTCCCTAATACTTTCATTATTTCCTTTACAAATAAAGGAGGTGAAAAAAATAACTCGAGCACTCCAATCCTACGTCATCAAGTGACAGATAAACCCGGTTTGCATGATGGGAAACCTCGAGCCGCTGAAGGAGACAAGTCTCTTCCGAACATCTTCGTGGTATCCACAATTAGTGTGTTCCTTATCAGCTCCTTGTTGGTTCTCGTGCTTGTCGTTATCCGATCCTCTCTTGAACGCCGTGTTGAAGCAAGAGAAAGTACGAGCATGAGTAGACAGTCCCAGCAGTCTAGTCCAGTTATAGAGATCATGACGACGCATGCGCAACTGCTGGTACAAAGGGATGACGCGAGTGAAGGAGACGCCACTAATGAAGGAGACGTAGCCAGTGAAGGAAATGTTCGACTGGATAATACATACTACGTGGATGCAGTTATGTGTCGATAATTTTTAAATCAGAGCCGAAAGGATATGGAAAGTAACTGATTAGAAATTATATAAGATTTGTTTTTCTTCGCTTAGGTTTGTAACACGAATTGTTTCGTGTAAATCAAACCTACAACTCGCTTACGACTCTTAAGTCATGTCGTAGGCCTGTCGTAAGAAACTTGCGCCATACTTCCACTCAATTTATATCCAATGAAATATTTGAAAAAACCAGTCGCAACTTGCGCGCTCGCATTTTCCCGTTTGGTGGGGATCACATGGTGTTCAGTGGGAACGAATGGGGGAATCAGTCAAGTCATCACCTATCATAGAGTACAGGGGCGATAAACAAAGGCCTGTCCCTTGGCCTGTTCTTATTTATGGTAAGTTCGCTTAATTCACCTTCGTAACTACTGTGACGAAAGATTCGGCCTTTTGGTAGTTGTCATCGGTACACAAAGTAAATTCTGTGCAGCCTTGTGGGTCGGTGCAAAGACAGCTGAAAAGATGCCCACTGGGATGATAATTCTGCATTTGAGACACTAAAGCTCAGGTTTCCTAGTATTATGATTTATGTCTTTTTGACTTTTAATACCGCAACTGCTTTTTAGCATGTCACGCAACGATGTGACTCGTAGTCGTCGTCGCGTGACATTCTAGAGAGCAGATATTAGTTACTTTATTAGTAAACACAGTATTTATACAGTCACTTTGCAAGGAATACAAACAACCTTAAAAATTGAAAAATATCTAACAGTTTTGTAACGTAGACGGACACACCGGATTGCCGGTGTTAAACATTTTGTGTGAAATTTAAAAGAAAAAAGTTTGAGTGTACCTGAAATGCGTTTCTTTGAGTATTTCACGATATCAATATAGAAAGTTTACGCACACCTTAATACCCAACCCCCTCCCCGTTATTACAGACCGAAAATAGTAACTATCAAGCACTCATGGTAGGTTCTGCAGAAAGAAAATGTTATTACTGAGCACGACTAAAACCCTGCGAAACCTGGGCCCGGAGTCTTTTCTTAGAGAGAAGAAGAGAGGACCTGGAACCTGATTTGGTCGCGCTCGTTGTTGAAAGATAGCACTCGTTCATCGTTATGAAATAAACGGCTGAAATACTGCACCAGAAGGAAGGCACTAAAACTGACCAGATGTAGAAACACTTCGTTGAATTCTCCAATATCCATATATTGACCGGAGGTAAGCGGGCTATTAGAAATAATTTCTGGTTAATAGTATCTTGACAAATTACACACCTCGTTTCCAAGTCTTGCTTAGATTGGTCAACACTTCGATCTGGCTTGCTCGCAAAAATAGCAGGCCTAGGGGATTCCCCAACAGTACAACATCGTATAAACACCGGTGAAAACTGTTTTTCCCCAATTGCACTGAATTGTTCCCTGACAGCGCTGCTTGCACTTCTAATTGAAATATTTATATTGTGGCTAAATCATGATTTTGATCTTCGGAGCTGTTCTTCTCTTGTCATTAGTTGATCAAAGCAGTCAGCAGCCACTGCCATGCAAGGATGGGAAGTTCTATGAAAGCAGCGTGTTCGACTATTTCAACTGCAGCGTTTGTATTGAGCAACCTCACTACGAGAACTGTGATACCTGTTGTAAAAGTAAGTTTCATTTGATTACTTGAAGGCTTTTCCGTTTTCGCGTCAGTTTCTGTCAATTTTTTTTTTGTATATACCTAAAAATTTCACGTAAAATCTCCCTTCGATTCCTGCAAGTCAGCACATTTCAACGTATTATAAACTTGTCCCCTTTAACGATAAACCTGCAATGTCTAGCCAAGAAAATTTGGTTGTAATGATGCGGTTCTATCAACGAAACTGCAAAATAAAAAATGAGAAAAACTCGGATTTTTCATGCGGCTTCCGACGCGCAAAAGTGTGTCGTTTTAGTAGTGTGGTGGGGTCCCATTCTTTCGTAAGTCTTAAGTCTTTATGCAATGGTTTTGTCAAATGCTCCTTATTTCGGCAGAAGTAAGACATTCATCTTTTAAAGAAGCCTTTAAATTGAATCGCAATGAATTATTTTGAATTCCTTTCATAGGAGCAGGAGTAGGACTCTGATAGGATTATTGTGAACACTGAGGGGAAATTTACCGCTAGTTTTGCCTAGCGTGCACTTTCGAAACATCATGAGACTGCTGATGGGGCAGTCCACCCATTTTTGACCCTTGGGTATTGTTTTACCAAAGGAGATCATCTCAATTTATAGCCCACGGCCAAATAAGTATCATATAACAATTGCGTCAGCTCATTCGCGTCGTTCCAATGCTTAGAATTACTCAGCCAAATAAAGGCGCCGTGTTAAAATTTTGGCGGCGATCTTGACCTTCATTTCGGGCATTTTCCATACTGTCACGTACAGAATATCACAACATAGACGCCGGTGTATTTTTTTGCCTACGGTATTTGGTTTTCGGGATACTCTCAAGTCTTGGGATCTCACTTACTTGGCGTTGAATCTCTTGTGCACTGAACAAGTTTGTACTTTAAAGGTAACATTTTTGGGGGGCTTTTTTGTTTTTGTCTATTCGCCGGGCTAATGATTATCTCCAATACTAATGACAGAGCGAATATTTTTGTCATTTGCGCGCAACGCGCTCGATACACGATCAAAAGTCATTTTCCGTTTTTTCGTCAAAACCTGATTAGTGTTGGGAAAACGGCAATTTCTGTGCTACTTTCATCCCGTACAATCTTGGGAGAAATAGAAAAGAGCGAATTCCCTCTGTTACGAATTTTCCAGATAATGTGGTTCGGCTACTTATTTTTCTAACAGAAATCACGACCACGTCAACATCAACTGTTACAGCAACGACCGAGAAAACTAAACTGCATACGAGTCCCTCAGCATCTCAATTCATCAAGACAGAAAAAATGCGTTTCTCTCCGATGGAAATGGTTATCATAGGATTCTCTTTCGGATTCGTGGCCGGTGCTGTAATAGCTTGGCTGGTTGTGATTACAGCTAGAGTCTGCTCCAAAAGGAGGAAGAAACTGGAAAAACTGATGACTTCAAGTGAGTACAATGGTTACATACAGTCTGGAGTATGACCTCCAGAATGATTTTATAAGCTATTTGTCTTGACTGTAGACTTCGACTGGTGGTCGGCATTAGTGCCACTTGCAATGGAAAGTTAATGACTCTTTTACCCGCCAAAAATTTATCTGCGCGTACTCCCCGCGCGTACTCCCCGTGAGAGCATACCGCCAAGCCAACCAAGCAACGTATATGCGCAGCAATTCGCGCGCGGGTTTTTCGCGATGTCCACGAATGAGGGAGCGAGTGGGTCGATTAAGGCTCGCAGTCCCCGACAGAGAAACTAATGAAACACACGACAGGGATTTTCTTTTCCGGAAGGAAGATTTTTTTTAATCATGTATTTGAATAGAGCTATGTTTTGGTGGTTCGACTTTGTTTCGCGGAACTATCAAACAAAGTGGAATTTTTAAATTAGTCTAACTCAGTGTTCTTCTCAATCTCTTAGATTCAATAAAAGCAACACAGGAAACCCAGCGTAACACGTCTTCACCCATGGTTTGGGGCCAAAATGTTGGTATACCTCCGGCAGCGGATCCGCATGACTGTTGAGCGGAAGATGTCCTCTCCGCGTGCGATGACGAGGCGAATAAAAAATCAGGAGAAGAAACTAAATTATATTAAGCATAAGCGAGTATCTTTGTAAAATGCAATAACTTTGTTCAGTTTCTTGAATTTCCACTCCTGGATGATTGATAGCTAAAGGAAGGCTAAGGGTACTGAAAATAAGTTATACTAAGCAAGTGAATCTACAAAACCAATAGTTCGGTTCAATTCTTCGACTTTTCGGCCAAGAATCTTGACCTCACGCTGGCGTTTGTATCATAACTGCAAAAAGTTCATAAAAAATCGTAGACATGGAAAATGGAAACTAATTCCATTTCTCTCTCATTGGAGTAACAACTACTTTAAACAGGCTCCCTTACGAACGGAACGTTTTGTTTTCTCCTGTCAAAAGTGTTTTTGTTAATCACGTGACCTCTTTGTAACAGAACATTTAGAGGTATTCTGTAACCTAAAGTTAGCGGTTTAAGTAGCTAAAGGGAAGACGCTGAATTACTTCTATTAATATATTTTACAACTGAAAATATATTATTGATAATCTGAGCGGAAGTTGTACAGGCATTCTATTTTTGATATTAAAAGTTTCAAGATGATATCCATTTGTGCTCTGATGACGTTCGGGGGTGGGGGGTGACTCTGGGAGAATTTAGGCCGGGCATACCCTTTTTCGATACTTTTCTATGGTGTTGTGTATGTGGTTCCATTTGTACCAATTGCTATCAATCGCTAGTGATAAAACTCAATCGTTAGTGCTGGCAACAAATAATAATTGTAAATCAATTTAGTTTACGTTCTAAAATGGTCAATCGTTAGTACTGAACCTCAATCGCTTGTGTTGTTGCACCAAACGCCGTTGTAAGACTTCAATTAAAAGCGCTAATTATAAATCGCTGGTGTTTTGACGCAGATCGATGGCGCTAAATATCAATTACATGTTTTCGTGTCAATCGATAGTGTTAAACCTTTATGGCTTGTGTTATTTGTAAAAGGCAGAAATTGTAACGATATCAATCGCCAGTGTTACCAATCATTGTTTGTGATGAATACAAATCGCTACCGCAAAACATAAATCATTAGTGCTAGTATCGATTTGTTATCGATTCTACCTGGAACCAGTCTCCCCCTTGTTTAGCAAAGATAAACCAATCAAATCTTGCTTACTATCTTGCTATCTGATAAAGGACATTGAAATCCAAAAACATATTTTCAATTGTACTTTTGCAGGAGCACTTTACTTGATGGGCTCCTGATTTTTGTTGAAAGATGCTTATTTAAAAGTTATTGTAAATCTGAAAAAAAATTCCAAATTCTGATCAAATCACTCTCTCCACAAATAACTTATAAAAAACCCAAAAATAATTTGCGATCCAAGGTACTTTGTGATACTTTCGTCCATATGCCTTGAGATGGACAACGAAATGGCATCCTCTTTCGCAGGATTTCCCACTTGCTTTGCTCAGAATTCCGCACACGCTGGTTCAGTAATCTTGGATTGTATACTTTCTCTTGATTCAGGCTTTATTGACGACATTACACGTTCCGTTCTGCGATCTATCTACTCTATTACAATCTAATCCTAGGGTTACAAAAATGTTACATTTATTAGCTGAGGAAATCCAGACCTAGATATGTAATTCCGTGTAGGATTCAAGATTCACTCCGTTCTACAACGATTCGTGGGCATTAATTTCCTATTAAACATGGCTTTTCTTAACAATCATGCTGCTAAGTTCTACGCACTTAAACGCCCTGCAAATACCTAGTTTCATACATCACTTCTCGCAGAATCAATTTGATTACCCTATGCCGCTCCTAATTACATGTTACCTCTGATTGTCAAGTTGAATCTATCCTTAACGGTAACGAAATAACAACTCACTTAATACACAATTAAATTCATAATAAATCTAGGAAATCAATTTTTGCGTGGAAAAATTTCACAACATCCTCAAACAGATTCATTTAATAGCAGATTAAGGGAAGCAAATCCTGCTCCAGCTGTGAGATGATCATCTTGCATTGCGTAATATGCGTCATGGCGAAAATATAAGAGTTTGCACAGGATAGATAGATAGATAATGACACGAGGCCATTTTAGCGAATTATCCATTTCTAGGTTTCCTACCCCTAAGAGAAGTTTGGGCTTGGGCCGCCGGTGGAATTTTTCGCCTCTCGGATCGGGCGTTCGGAAATGGAGTGTGCAGCCTTGTCCTTCTCTCAAGAGCCTGCTTGTTGCTTGTGTGACAACAGACAACGGCGTTTGCTGCAACAGCACAAGGGATTGAGGTTCAGCACTAACAATTGACCATTTTAGAACGGAAAGTAAATTGATTTACAATTACGACTTGTTGCTAGCTAACGATTGAGTTTTATCACTAGGGATTGATATTTTAGCACTAACGATTGAGTTTTATCACTAGCGATTGATAATTTTGGCACAAACGGTTCCCCATAGGTTTGCTTGTAAATTTGCTCGGAACTTACGGGGGCTGAGTCTCCCGTGATGGAAAGAGGATAGGTAGCTTATCAAATATTGGTACGTGTTGACAGATATGTTAATAACTTGCTGTTTATTTTCTTCACATCACGGCCTCTGTGCCAAATATTTTGTCTAGAAACGATACACAAAATCAGATTTAATGGAGAGTTGGAAAATGAAAAAAAAGCTGTGACTTTGTCACCGCTTGATCAGCTTTGTCAAGCCGGCTGCGATGATAAGGGCCGAAATTCATACGTAGATTGACCCCTAGCATTAGGTTTCAAGAAAGTGTTGAAGTGAAAGATGCTTTGTTCTACGATAACAAGGCATATCTGCCCCGATTTTATTTTTAATACGAATGTTCTGTAGCAGATTAGTGCTTCTGGCGCGCGAGCTGTTGTTAAAGCGATTCGTTTGAAAACCGGTCATCACACTTCAATACTAAACATGGTCGAGCCCGCTAAAGAGCGGTTTGGTGGAACAGCGCTGGCAACAGGCATCAGTATTATAGCCATCTTGATTTCTCTACTTTGCCTTGTCCATGTCTTCTTCCTCGCCTCGCATCAGCCACAGTGCAATTGTCCGCAAAATGGAGTGCTCGACAACTCAAGCGATAAAACAACGCAAGATGTAAAGAAGACATTCACTGCTAAAGAGAAAACCTCTACAAAAACACGATCAGATGCGGCTAAAACTTTTGAGCAAGTGACGGAGGGAAGAAAAGTGAGATTGCGTCGGCAGAATCAAAATAATGGACAGGTCAATGGCAACACGGCTTTTGGTGGTTACCTGCATAATGCTATTTTGCGATTGCAACAGCAAATGATTGCCGTGGAGGGAAGGTAAATTTTATGATTTGCGTTTTCTGTTTAATCATCCGTGGGATATCTTGATACACAAGCATTTAAGGACCGGTAATTACTTCTCGCTCGCGGGGGAGAGGAGGAGTCAAAGAATTTTGATTGCGACACGATAAACTTTACCTGATCCCCCCCCCCCATAGGACTTTCTTATATTCTTTCTTATAGTCCCCCTCATTGACATTTAATTGGAAGTCAGTTGTCTATAGCCCCCCTTAACACTCTGTTGTTGACGTCTTATCCCCCCCCGTTCCCCCTGAAAACCATGTGATGTCCTTAAAAATCCTCTACCCCCGTCCCCGGTGATAAATAGATAAATAGAGACTGGTTCCTAAATAGAAACTGGATAAATAGAGACTGGTACCTAAATAGAGACCGGATAAATAGAGACTGGTTCGTACGTGTTTTTTTTTTAGTAGGTGCCTCTCGATGGGCTTGTTAATAAGAACTCCCCCATATGTGGATATCATAATGAAGCACATTTGAACAGCGCTGAGTGGAAATCAGTGATCTGGAACTACTTTGCAAATCCAGCTTGCATTAATTTATCTTAAGTTAACTCGAACTCCTTTTATCACAATCTGCGCTTTGCTCTCCTTGACAGTTTGATTTGTTGGGGGTTAAGTTTATAAGTTTATTGGATACAACGTAATACCAATATGAACCTGATTGAAGAAAGGGGGTTAAGAAACTGTGGTGCTACGTCGGTCGGTGGGGGGGGGGGGGGGGTTGGGGGAAATTTGTTGTATCAACTCAGTTGAGGACTTGAATAGGCCACCGTGGAAGTTACTAGGACTAGAGATTGACTTCTCGAACGTTAGCTCAGTGGAAGATCTCATTCACTCTGACGAAGGGCTAATGCTCGTAACAACAACTTTAGAAATTCTTTACGGTGGCCAATTTGCATTTTCAACTGAATTGATAAAATCAACTAGATGAACCTGATTGCACTCTGGCTCTATGTGATTGCTGGCCCGCTAACATTTGCAAACAGTGTCTCTACAACTAATTTTTCTTGCGCCTAAAAATTGCGTAATTGGCCACATTTATTAATCCTTACCAACCACATGATTTTTATCGAGGGCTCAGCATTTAAAATCTTCTGCAAAAATCACATTGCATTGCATTGCATTGCATTTCTTGCAGAGCTCAATACTTACAGGACCAGTACTCGAAGACCGTAAATCGGGCAACACCCCGTGGGCCTCCGGGTGCGCCTGGAGTACCCGGCAGAGACGGAAGTGACGGAAGGTCAGGAATGGACGGTCCAACGGGGCTCCCTGGCAGAGATGGACCCCCAGGAAAAGATGGTTATCCCGGTTCAGCAGGGGCTGCGGGGCCTCCGGGTGTAAATGGTCTTCCAGGGCATCGTGGAGAGAGAGGTTTAAAAGGAGAGAGGGGTGATCTTGGTCTGAAAGGTGAAAAGAAAAACAAAATGCCAAAATAGTAAGAAATATTGCGTCCCCCTAGCACAGGATTACGTCTTTTGTTTGCTCTCATGCAAAAAATTGTTTACGTGCCCTCTTAAATTTGTGTGGAGAATTATTTGACAATTTTAACGGAGCGTGAGGTGAGGGCGAGAATCTTGAGGCGGTGCACTCAACTGAGGAAAGACATGCGTTTCGTGAGGAAGCAGAAAGAGAGAGCCTCCACCCCTCGTATCTCTGCCTTAATCAACCCTTTCACTCCCAAGACCTCACAAGTAATTCTCCTTACTGTCTCCCATACAATTCATATGATATAACTTGAGAGAATTTGGTTTTGGATCAACTGATAATCCCCTAATTGATATTTATCTTAATTCTCATCACTTGTCTGCTTGATATTGTATAGATATCGTAAGGAGAAATTCTGTCTTTGTCACCCATGGGAGTTAAAGGGTTAATAATCGCTTCTACACCGCACTAGCTTTTAATATAGGGAGGAATTTTTGCATGTAAAAATTTAAGAAAAGTGAGCGCAACCTTTCACTTCCCTTTTTTTTAATCACATTGTTTTGCTTGTTTTCTTGTAACAATAGGTGATAGAGGTTTACCTGGAATGAAGGGAGGAAGAGGAGTTCCCGGTATACCGGGAGAGGACGGCGAACCAGGACTTCCCGGTACGGTGGGGAGCAAAGGTAATAAAGGTGAACGTGGGAAGACGACTTGTTATGTCACGGAGCGGGGTCGGAGGGTGGAGAAATCGTGCTTCGAGGCTGCTTCTTATGAAGAAATTGGCCGGGATCAAAGTAAGGATGCTGGAGGGGCACTTACTTACGTTCGATGGGGAAGGACCACGTGCCCCGTGGGAGGTGCAACGATAGTGTACTCAGGTAAGGAGGTACATTCTTCCTTTGGATGAGAGTAGACGAGGGAACATTATTACTGAAATCTGGATTAGGGTACAAATTAAGCTGCTTATCTCTTGGGATAATTGCTCAAATCCTTGGGATAGAGGAAAAAGTTTTCTATCGAGGGCTCGTTCTCTTGGGATGTACAGGCCAGGCTTTTAATTATATTAATCAGTAACTTTTTTTCTTATATCGGAAGTTAGCTCAGGGAGGAGGGGGGCAGCTTATTCTCTTACACCCCCTTCAGCCACGCCCTTGAGTTAACTATGAAAGCGTTCCTTTATCTTGACTCTCTTGAGCCAAAAAGTCATGTTGGAGATTTTCCTCTTTGTCTCTCAGGACAAGCTGCAGGCACACGTCATGACAAAGCTCGTACAGGGGGGTCCCCTTACATCTGCGTACCCAACCAGCCGTGGTACTTTGGTCAAGTGGATCCCAGTACTCCACTCGGCAACGTTTCCCAGGTAAACCGCGATGCGCTGAAGCAGGACGAGACACGCAGCATCTTACACGGCACTTACTTCTACTTGTCATGTGTGTTGTGCCTGGTCAGGACCCGAAGCGTGCAGATCATGCTGCCGGCTCGAAAGGAATGCTATCGAGGCTGGCATCGGGAGTATGATGGTTACCTGGTGGTGCAGTCGAACCGGAAGGACCACAAAGACGTCATCTGCTTGGACCGGGAATCCAGGAATCTACTGAAAGATGCCACATACGTCCGAGGGCTTTTTGCGAGTTGTGAGACGTTCTCCTGCCCGCCATATGTAGAAACAGAGAGACTCCCTTGTGTTGTTTGCACGATTTAGATATAATGCTAACTGTCTTGGACAGATAAAGCCCGTTCGTTTAACTCTTAAGTGTAGGCTAAGCTGGTTTTGATTAATTTTAAGCTTCACTTTCATCGCTGCTAAATTAGTTTCAGATTGAATTTTCCATCCCACCGTGAAGATCATTAGTTCTTCGTAGCGCTTTTCGAGTACTGCGCGTTATAACCAAAACCCAAGTTATTTGAACGTCCAGTCAAAGCAAAGTACAATATTACACAAGGACCCAATCAGCAGGTGAAGTAAAATCATAACAGTCATCCTAAAGCACTGGACACTAGTGACTCAGTCAAGATTGGTTTCAGTCAAGCATCTGATTGGTTGAGAGAGTAACGCGTAGTTTCTGAACAAATAGTATGTTAACCCTTTAAACCCTAAAATGATCAGCTTCTAATTTCTCCTCACAATAATACTTCTGAATTCTTCGTTAAGATCACGAGAAAACAAGAAAATGATCGCGAACTAAAGAGGTTTTGATTGTCAAACAAATTCTCCTTGTCAGTACCAAAGGAAATGAACACAGAAGAGTATGGAGAATCTGGATACTGATGTTAGGGAGTAAAGGGTTAGGTGAAACCGATACAATCCAGAGTAGTTTTATATTCCGGTTAAAATTTACTTCAAAGACTTCACGCCATTAGCTCCGCTCTGCCAGTGCGTTATTATTATTAATTTTTTATAAGTTGTGTAAACTCTAAGCTCGGGTAGTAGAATTTGTTTCACAACGGAAAAAGTGCATTAAACGATAATCAAAAAGTAACTATTCACTGAAAACTATTTTTCTCCCCTTTTGTACAAATATGGAAATCTTCGATACACTTCTGTTACTCCATCGTTGATGCCGGCAGGGGTCATCAACAAAGTTTTAATTTAGGATGCTCCGTGACGTAACCTTTTTTTCCATTTTCTTTCGTATACCTTCCACTGGAAATGGTATGTTTTTCACTGATTCACTTTCTTGGGAGACTACATCTGCCCCTTACACCATGAAAAAGAAGACGTTGGGTTCATTCCCTATTTTCGAATCGCTCGTACAACATACTTTGTTTTAACTCGCCAAATTCCGTTTCTGTGATTTAAAAAAAAAATTAAATCCCTTCCACAATCCTTTTGCGTCATAGCTAAGTCCTTGGGATGGTTCCTCTGCACCCCATATTTGGAAAGCGCAAGTCTCCTGTGAACTCTGGGTAGGAATTTGATAGGAGTGTACTGAACTTCCGCCCTTCAAACGACGCCGTTATTTAACTGGAGTTTATTTCACTTTTACATATATCTTCAATTATGGGGTGATTTAGCGTGAAGTATTTGTCATTGTCTGGCAAGGCCGTCAGCATGGCAGTGAGCGAAGATTCTTGAGCTGATGCAACTTTTGTCTTTTGGGCGGCTTGCGTTGTCTGTGATCTATCTGCTGATCGAAGGTAATTCTAAAAGCTTAAGTTTGCTCGTTTCGTGGAAAGGTCCCATTTGAGGGGAGATGTCTTACTCAGTAGTCGTACATCTATTGGAATCATTTCGAATGTCCCTCGCGGGAGAACGTGTTTCAAATCACTGCTTGTTGGATCGCACGATACTGCTCTGATAAACTAGCGTGACTTCGCCATTATGGGCTGTAGTCGTTTCAGTAAGCTGTTTTGTCGGAAATGGCAAAGCGAAAAGCGTGAAGGCGTTTTCTTCATTTAAGCCTCTTGTAGTATTTGGAAGAACAAGAAGGTTCACACAGCACAAGAATTTCTGGGGATGTGGAATTTAAAGCTTTGACTGTTCGGTTTGATCCACTGGCAATTTGCCAGTACACTAGAAGCTATCCTTTTGTCTGCTTATTCGCATTCCAGGAATTGTTTTGATTCACAAATAAATGAGAACAACAGATCAATCCAAAATATTCAGAATGACTCAAATTTTCCTTTACTTTTCAATAGTCAGTTGTAATCTTATCGCAATGTGGCCTGTGGTTGTTTTTAAGGTTTGGAGAGTCCGTCATCTCACTCAGACATGTCTGGATTAACGATCCTAAACAACCCTTGTAACGGAATGTGGTAAGTTTTCATGTTTTAATGATGTTTTTTTAGTTCCCCGATATGAAAATATGTTTAAGTTTTAGAAAGTTATTTTGTAGTAACTACTAATATGCAGTAATCAGAGAAGAGTTCATTAAGTGGATGTCAAACAGATTCCCAAGCCCAACTGCCTTTTGGTAACCCAGATCACAAATTGTCAGCCAGAGATAAAACTTTGCTTGTTAAGAATCAAATAAGCAGAGAATTCATTGACATCTTTTGGGCTTGTTCATCAAACAACCAAAGAGAAAGAGGAAAATTTATTGTTTAGAAAACAATGGAACATCGACTCTAGTATTTTATGCAAATGCTATACATCACCTTCAAACAGTTTGTTACCTTGAACGGCATATGATACACCTCAAATCAACTGGAACTTGAACCATAAACACAAAGCTTTAAAAATAGGCAGTCAAGACTGTATGTATAGCTACTAATATAGCACAATTTTCATAGCATTGAACAGAACTAGAGGTTGTATAATGATGCTAGAAGGTAGTGTTGCAGAAGATTTCTCTCACATGAAAAACAGAAAGACCTGTTGCATCCTGCATATTCATGAGTACCATGTTCACAAGAAAAAGATGATTCAACAGGAAAAATTGAAAGAAGCATAATGTAATCATTATTGGAACCTAGAGGATAGAAAAATTGTGAGGTTTTCAAGCTAGCCCCTCTTATTACTATTTCTATCATTTTCATTATTGTTAATATGATTATTTGTTATCATTAAGTTACTGGTTGAATGTCAACTAGTCACTGTATTCTTGAATCATCTTTCTCTTGTGAACCAGGGTACCCATGAATATATGGGATGTGGCAGGATTTCTTGCTTTGCATGTTAATACAAATCTTTTGCAACACTATCTTCTAGGTTCACTATGCAATCTCCATTTCTGTTTAATGCCAAATCAGTAGCCACCTGCAGTCTCAGACTGCCTGTTATGTGAATATGCAAACCTAAAAGCCTTTATTTGTGTTGATGGAAGTGAAGTTAAAGGGGAAGTACGGTCTAGAAAAATTTTACTTCTATTAATAGAACTTTTCCACAGGAATTCGAAAATAGTTGCCGTTTTGTCCAGTTTGCTTTACAATTACGACAACAGCGCTTTGAAGTTGCTCTTATCTACCACTTTCGCGACTAGAAAAACGCCATCTTGGACATGACGTCAGCTATGACGTAGCAATAGTCAAACCTTGTTGTTCATCGCTTTGACCTGGTTGACTTGATTGACCTTTCTGACGAGTATTTCTAATGAGGGTTTAACTATGGTCAACTGTCTTGTAGTTAACTGATATAATACTTACAAAAATACAAAAGGGAAAGGAGTAAGCTTCCACAAGCTACCTGTAAATGAAAATTTAAAGAGAATTTGGCTGGCAAAAATAAAACGCGAGGACGCTCTGCCGAAACCCGAGAACTGCTACGTCTGCTCAGATCACTTTATCAAGGACGACTTCAAGCGGAATATTCAGGTATGAATATTTGACCTTTGCTTCAAACTGAAAGCTATGTTTACCTTTCCCATACTCGAATTGTATTTTTTTCTTTAATTTTATTTAAAAGAACCACTGTAATAGCAGCAAAACAAATTGAAGCTCGCATTGGTGATTGACCGCGTGTAGTAAATTCAATCGTGACCATGAGGCGCTTAGCCGTTTTCTCCCAAGAATTTGTCCCAAGCATTTTTCCAAAGCAGCGTTTATAATTATCTTATAAGGCACGTGAATATTTGTTTATACCAGAATCACGGTAAAAAAGGTCTTCTAGTCACTCTGTGTAAATAAGAAGACAATGAGGAAAACCATTAGTGTGTTTAATGTTTGTTTGTTTTCCTTTCTTGTAAAAATACAGTCCGAGCTCCTTGGATCTGACGGTAGCAGGAAAAAGAGACATTTAAAAGATGATGCAGTTCCATCTGTTTTTCCCCATGCGCCTCCACCAAAGAAAATCCGACAAACAAGCGTTGGTAGGGCGAATCGCCAGAGCCGACAAGAGGTGGGGTGTGAAATATTAATGATGCAAATAACTACTGTTTTGTGATACCAGCCTATAAATGTAATCAACACCGTACATTCTGCATTTCATCGTAGGTCTTGAACACCCTTCTTGAAAACACCCATTTGCTATCTTTAGAGCAAGAAAAGTCTTCGTGTTCAGTTGTAAAGGAAAACACTGGCGATACACTATCTACCTCCTGTACTGCTTCGCCCTCTTCTCCAAAGCTTGAAACAGAACCTTCGGCGAATCAACTTTCTTCCCCAAGCTGCACGGAATCTCAGTTTATCCGGACCGACGCTACATCTGCAAGCGCAGAACACCGCGAACCTGAAAAAAAGTTTACGACGTGTGGAACACAATGGCTTGCTAGTGAAACAGGAGACGCGCTGCTTCTTCAAGATCACAACTATAGTTGTGTTCCACCATGGAATCCGCTGCCTTTATTCTCTAAGCCTGGGTCCCTTTGCACGCAGCCATTTACTTCGACCCCGATCAAAGCTTCATCTAGCCAACCACCTCGGCTTCTGGAACTCTCGATTAACCTGGAAGAAGATACTGACGTAACAATAGATGACGATGTGAACGACAATTCCCTTCAAGTCAGCTTTGATGATGACAATATCAACAACAGTTCCATTCAAGTCAGCTGTGATGAAGAGGCTGGGGAAGACAGTTTGTTTAACATCAGCTTTGAAGAAGTGGACCAGGACACCACCCAAAGCGATTTGGAGACTGATCCGCCCGTTAGTAACAGTCACGATACCATTTATGAGAAAATGTGTTCGTCTCCCAAGTACATAGTATTTGAGGAAGAACTGCATAAGTTATTTGGCTGCTGTGTTGAATGCGGTGGCGAGGTTCTAGAAAAGGAGCTATTAAAAAAGGGAAGTGCACTTAAAGTAACGACACTTTGTAAAAACTCCCATTGGAAGGAGTGGGTTTCCCAGCCACTTGTTAACAGGGCGGCCGCGGGGAACGTATTGCTTTCAGGTGCTATACTTTTTACAGGAAATACGTTTTCGCGTGTTTCAGAAGTTGCCTCTGCAATTAATCTTGCCTTTCTGAGCAAATCGGATTATCACAACTGGCAGAAGAAGCACCTTTTCCCTGTTATAAATGATCGTTGGCAGCAGGAAAAGGCGGCAGTCCTCGCCGATCTCTTAGACAGGAACTCAGTCACTCTCCCCTGGGATGGACGTTGTGACTCCCCAGGCTATAGTGCCAAATACGAAACTTACACCATGATGCACAAAGAGAGTGAGAAAATTGTCGATTTCGAAGTTTGCCATGTAAAGCAGAGTACAAGTTCACAGGCAATGGAGAAACATGGTTTTAAGCATTGTCTTGATCGCGTACTAAATAGTGGCATTCCCGTAGGTGTTGTAGGTACTGACAGGCACACCCGTATCAAGGCACTCATGAGAAGCAAGTATAAGGACCTCGGTGTTGAGCACCAGGTAGACGTGTGGCACTTGACTGAGAACATCAAGTCCAAGCAGGTCACGAAAGCCAAGAAGAAAGAATGCAGGGACCTCTCTCCTTGGATAAAATCCGTGACAAACCATATGTGGTGGTCAGCGATGACATGTGACGGAAATCCCCAGCTCCTCAAAGAGAAGTGGGTCAGCATCCTCCACCACACGGCTGACAAACACGATTGGGATTCGATTGTGCTGTCCAGTCGTTGTGCACAC